AAGGTCTACATCAAAAGAACCAACACGGGTCTCCTTCTGCATTTCCAGAGTCATGTTGACATTAAGTACAAGCGCAGCCTAGTTAACACCATGGTGGATCGCGCTTATCGATTATCTTCTAACTGGTCTTTCTTCTCCGAGGAATGTGACCGCCTTAGAGGGGTTTTTCATAACTTGAAATACCCAAAGCCACTGGTTGAAACTACAATCAAGCGGTTCGTTGAGAGAAGGATTTCATCTGCAGAACCCTGTCCATCACCAGACGTACCATCGGAGACTGTGAGATTAGTGTTACCCTTCAAGGACCAGTCGTCAGCTAATCATGTTAAACAACAACTGAACAGTCTAAGCTCGAAGTTAAGCGTGACTGTCCAACCAGTGTTCGTTAGCCCTAAGCTCGATCAACAGCTTAAGCAACACGAAATTAAGCCCCCTATTGTTAACCAACAATGTATCGTTTATGAATTTAAATGTAACCTGTGTGATGCAGGGTATGTGGGCTATACTCGTGGTCACTTACACGAGCGCGTAGAAGGGCACAAAAGGAAATCATCTTCTATCTACAAACACTACCACCTCCAGCACAATAGTGAAATGCCTGAACGCTTGATCGAGCAATTCAACGTCATCACGAAATGTAACGGCAAATTTGATTGCCTTGTTAATGAAATGTTGTATATTCGCATGCGTAAGCCAACACTGAACGTGCAAACGGATTCCATCCGCGCCAAGGTGTTTGTTTAAGCCGTTCAGTCTAATTTATGCTATTCTTGTACCTTTCCTTATTTGCATGTTTTTAAACTAGTCTCTTGATAATGGAGTCACGATGACCCCGAAACGTCGAGTAATAAATCTTTCCTGGTTTTTTCTATGCCTTTGCTTTAGCAAATCCCTGCTGATCAAGAAATATTATCAAGTCAAAAAAATAAGAGCTGATAAGAGTGTAAACTTCTCAGTACAACAATACTTCGTTAAAAATGGAATAAAAACCATTTGAATCTGTCTTTGAACAAAGAGTTAGGACGGATGGAATCGGCCTGAATGTTTTATATATGGATTCCATTCTTTTATGAAGTGTTCCGTAAATGAAGCATTCAATTTTTGTCGGACACTTTCTTAGAATTAGAAACTGGCTTTCTAAGTTTAAGGTTGGAAGGGAAATCAGCCAAGTAAAAAGAAGACCAATATCGATCTTTCCAAGAAGTGAAAAGTAAACCCGTTCAGTCCAGGGTACGTGCACACAACTGCATAAACGTTGTCATGGAAAAAAGCAAAATTTAAAAAAATAATAAAATAAAAGGAATCTATTTAATTTAATATATTAGTATATAAGACTACCCTCTGGCTATATGCCCAGCAGCTGGACGATTTTCACAGAATTTCCACTGAAAACTGAATTCTTTCGAATTTCTTGAGAGTCCAAGCGATTCCAAAAATTAGACAAAAAGTTAAATGCTAACGCCTTATGCCTATGCTATATGCATATTATTTAGAATTTTTTTTTCTTTTCTTTAATGATAGCGTTACTGCAACCAAGTATATATACTCTATACTCCTTGATAAAAAGGAAAATAAATTACGGTTTTCTCACGCGGAGACAATTTTACTCTCTCTGATAGATCATCTGATGATCTTCCATTGAGCCGCACGCTTAATTAAGGTGGCTCGTACCTGTTTCCTCGCGCGGGGAGCAGGTCATTCTTGCGTGACGCGCGCGAGAGAAACGTGCGAAAGAAGCGCGAGATCAAAAGATGAAAATTCAAAACAAAGATGGCGGCGCGTGAAATTTTTTCTACTTTTGTGAGAAGTTTACCAAAGAGCTTGTATTTGATGTATTGAGCGACTACTGTGAATGCAGGAGATAGAAACTAAGAGAACGAAGACGAATTTTGGAGAAGTGAAGGTTGCTTCACTTCACATTTAAAAGAAATATTCAACCGATATGAAATGGGCCATTCCATTTAATATCCACACCCCCCCTATTGAAGGCCTGGGATTTCTTAGGTGGAGGGGGGGGGTCAATGCTATATTTTTTCTTAGGGGGGTTGAACCATATTTCTGAGAGGGGTCGCCATAAAGTACCCTTGACAGAAATTCTCACGAGTAGTTTCTGAAGGGGGTTCGATTGGTTTGCTTGATAGCTACATAAAATTCTGAAGGGGGTAATTTCAGGCAATTCTGAAGGGGGTTAAAAAATTTCTTTTCTGGAGGGGTGTTACAGGAAAGCCTTCAATAGGCCACCCCCCATTGCGGTGTCTGAAAATTGCCTTTTTTCTAGATTTTCTGAAATTCCACTCCGTAGAATTTTTTAAAATCTTTGTGTATTTTCCTTTTCAAGTGCCAAAAGCAATCACTGAAAAAAATCATGGGGTCACCGGGTTAGTTTTCGAATTATTTAAGCCACAAGCTAAAAAATGCGTCAGAATAAGCCTATGAAAGCGTTGCTATGGAAACTACTAGTGACGAAATGACACCTATTTTTGGATAACCGATGATTATATAATTCAACCCCGTAAAAGTGTTCAACTGGCCTTGGTCAGTCTTTCTGTTGTATTCTTTCAAAGTTACAAACCATCAAAAAGATGAAAACTGGTACGAGCCACTTTAACTTCCTTTGTGTGACAAACAACCTCAATGTAATACCGAGCGAACACAAACGAGCGAAAAGAAACGGTGATGTGACAATTATTACAATTTACAATGCAGAACAGCGTCTTCCAAAGCTCACCTAGGGATAATGAATGTCTGCCTCAAAGTTAGAAAATTGGTTTTCCTTCTAAATGTCTACAACTGCTGGCAACACGAAAACGAACTTTTCATAACCAGCGAATTGAATAGAGTGACAGATCAAAACTGCACAATCAAAACTGAAATACACTAATAGAGTCTTATTTGTTTATTTAGCTGCGCCTAATTGTCTTAGGCAGGGAGACCACTACAGCCTTAGCCAATTACAGTGGATCCTGCGTCAACAGACCCCCTAGTGAAGCAAATTTCATTTCAACAAAACTGACCAATTAGTTTTCACGAACCAGACCAATAACACTCGACTGACAAACAAGTCCTTCATGATGACTTATGCTGAGGTTACCGAGACGTCAGCCACTGTCCAATATCATGGGGAAGATTTCCGCACAGCGTATAGTATTGGATAAAAAAGGATAATGGCAAATCAACAGATTTCCTTGGGACCACGGCTTTGTTTTCTAGTAGTGTGGGTTATGCGGAAATATTTCCATATAATATACGATGACCGAAATGATAGAGATAATTTTTAAGCAATTTAATTGTTGCAATTTTCAGCAAAACTTTCACGCGTAAGGTTGAAACCATACAAAAAAAAAAAAAAAAAAAAAGAAAAGGAAAAAAGAAAACATGCAGAATTTGAGCAAAATAAACGGCATCTACAAATCTGAGAGAAAAAAGTAATTTCTCTGGGCTCATTTCTTCAAAAATTGGATTGTAGCCTACGTGTCATACCATCCCCCCGCCCCTAAGGAGAAACAGAATGGGGGGGGAGGGTACAGCTACACATAGGCTATTTGATCGGAAACTCATAACTATGGGGGAAGTCAAGATATCAAACACAATATGGATCCTTGCCATCTGAGCCTCCCGTAAAAAATTAGACTCCCGGGTATGTCTATACCGCGAACAAGCAAAGCACAAACCTCAATTATACTATGGCTGTACTGATTTCCTCTTGCCCAGTCCCCCAAGCTGACTACGGGAGGCTTGGAGAGTGGGGGAGCGATACAGGCTTCAGTGGCAAGAATGAAGTGATCAGGAAACCTGACAAAAAGAATATAAAAATAACAATTTAATAACTATTAATAAAGGGGGTAGGTTTCTAAAGAAACTGTGGTGCTACGTCGATGGGGGTAACGAGGTAATTTGGTAATATCAACTGAGTCCAAATTGTAAATTGGCCACCATAGAGTTGAAAAGCTGATGTTTCAAGCATTAGCCCTTCGTCATTCGTTGTGACAAAGGGCTAATGCTCAAAACGTCAGCATCTTAACTTCTTACGGAAGCCAATTTACAATTTCAGTTTAGTTGATATAACTAAACTGCATTTAATTATTAATAAAACCTTCCAAACAAAAATACATGTATGAGTGTCCACCCTTGTAAGGTCACTTAGAGCAATTTCCTGTTTTACTTCCCCATTGTGTATTAAACATATGCAGTTTTCAAGTAATTTGTGATCTCTAATGCAAGAATCCACCTCCCGGTTAGCTCAATTGGTTAGAGCGCCGGATTGTGTCATGCGGGAGGTCGAGGGTTCGAGCCCCTGCCGGACCATTACTCATGGTCTTAAAAAAACTGAGGAAAATTTGCTACCTTTCTACAATATCAAGAAATGGATAGATATTCTAGTCTTCTCGGATAAGGACGAATAAACCGTAGGCCCCGTCTCCTGCAGGGTTAAGGGTAGGAGACATTAATTTCCCACACACAAGATTACTGTGTGGTGGATGTCCTCCCCTGGGGTAGGATGGGTGGGAAGGTGAGATCATTACATGGACAGCAGCAGCCAAAGGCACCTGGTAAAATGCTTATGTCTGATCTCCACCCCAAAATACATTGTAAACCTTAGCAATTCAACCCATGCTGCTATTGTATAAACCATAAAATCTTTTCCCTTTACATTTCCAAAATGCATTGACCCTAAGAGTGATGAGCATCGAATTTCTTCTGACAGCATCACCCCTGAATCAAACATATAGGCCAGATGAGAATAAAGGAAATGAATGCAAACTCAAGTTAGGAAGCCCATGATTGTTAGGCAGATTCTCCCTAGCGAACAGTATGGAGGACTTGCATGCTAATGCTAGGTGTAAAGTGTTAAAACATCATGATTATGCTGCCCCAGGGCTCAACACTGACTTTTACTAGCCGAGTGGCTTGTGATGTCTTAGATGTTATGACAGTTTGTTTACTAGCCAAACTGGCTAGTGAAAATCCAAAACAAATGGCCAAAACTGAATTTCTATTAGTCTGTGGCTAGTTGGCTGCCATTAGTGTTGAGCCCTGCATGTGCCCACTTTGCAAATAGCCCAGTTGATACCAATCACCTGTTGTGAATGTCACTCAGCACTTTGGCAGGAAGGAATCTATCTTCATACCAGTGAACACCAATTCCAGCAACATACTTGGCAGCATCGGGATCATTAAGAATGGTGTTTGCCCATTGTTTCAAAAACATGCGCTGATCATCAAGCATGATTATCTTCACATCAGCATGGCCATGGGCTGACAGCATAGGCCCCAAGTCCTCCTTGATAAAATCCCTTTCCATTTCAGGGGTGTATCCCATGCACTGAAATGTAAAACTGGAGGAAAGGAAGATAAAAAATAAGAAATAAAAAACAAATTTCATCTGTAAGGCCAGAATACATATGTTGTAGTTTCAAATAAATTTAGGTTGAAATGATTTAAATCAGTTTTTTTTTTGTATTTTCCTTTCTTTATGAGATGTAACAATGTATCTAGAATGAAAAAATTGTTACAGGTAATTTTCGTCACTAATCAATTTTACTTTACAACATTTGTTTGCTGATGTAGATAAGTGCTTTTTACTTCATGATGGTTTAAAGCCTGGGCTGTTTTTTTTTTTCTGAATTGATAAAAAGGCTTCTTTCTAGTTTCCCATTTAATTACTGTACCTACAGTTTGTACATGTAGTAAGTGCCTGACCCAAACAAAATCTTTTAATAAATCATACATAGAGTTTTGCAAAATTAAATGCAGGGAAAGAAAGACCTGTGGTATTTTTTTATCATTAATAAACCAAAAAAAAAAAAAAAATGTAATGAAGTTAATTCAAAATTTTACCCTGTTATCAAATCATCATGTTGTCAGGGAATAAAAAAAATATGATCGAAATTGTCTTGTCACAGCTTTGCATCATGACCTCATGAACCCTCTAAACAATGCAAGTCACCCCCACAATGTAAGAAGTCTTTAACGTGATTGTTAGCAGCATAAAATGCAATGCTAGTAGTTGCAATGCATCTTCACAACTTCACAGCATGTATGTTATTGAAAAGTGCAAAAGTTAATTATCTTACAATGGAATATATCCATCTGATGGCTCATTTTGTGCTGTAACTGCCCAGATATTTATTCCTTTCTCCTCGTAAGCCTCAATAAACTTGGCAAAGTACAAAGCCCATGCTTTGTGGTACTTATCTCCTGCCTTTCCCTTTAATTGTCCAAATCCAGTCATCTTGTTATTTGTTTTCATCCATGCAGGTGCTGACCATGGACTTCCAAAGAATGTGATGTTTTTCTTACTCATCTTCATTGCAGTCAATATGGATGGGATTTTCAATTGTATGTCCTCATCAGCCAAGCTAAAGTCGGCCATCTCAAGATCACCAACATGGTCATTGTAGGAATAAGGTCTTGTAGAAAAATCACAACTTGCCATAGGGATGCGTCCAATGTTATACTCAATACCTTCCTCTGAGAAATATGAAGAAAGAAGTTTCTGCCTCAAGGTTGTGCTGATGTTGTAAAGATTAATCGAGGCAGCATCTGAAAGAAGACACAGAGGAATTCATTGGTGCCTGATGCCCAGCAAACAAGGAACAGTGATAACTCTTCTTCAATCATCACTTGGAGATGCAACCATCAGAAAATTAAAAAGCTCGATACACAACATAGTCTATTCTGAAATATTACAGCTGTAATATTTCTCCTACTACAACTTATATCAAGGAACAATCATGTTCATTGGTTTAAACTAGTCACATTTAAGACTCAAGGCTCTTTTAATTTGCATTATTTGACAAAAATTTTCACCAAAGTTCTTGTTTGTTTGCTGCTATTGAGTAAGCACTCGATCTTTTGAGTAGGGAACTTTTTATGCCAATTTTCAATTTGATCAAGTGGCCAGGGGAGAAATAAAATGGCTATATAAACAAGAAAAAAAAATAACCAACCAGTCCAGTTGTAGTACAATTCTTCTTTTGGTCACCTTCTACGCCACAGTTATTTTTTCTGGTGCCCAGCAGATCAAGGACTCCACAAAAAAAGTTTATTATTGTTAACCCGTCTCCTAATTTGACTGGACTTTTGCATTACGTTCTTTGTAACACAAATAAGATACCTAAAAATGAGTTTCGGCATGTGGCCGCTCAACACATACACCTGGCCAAAATAACAAAGTCTACCTATGCCTCAAAGGAAAAGGTTGGTTTGGTAAGCCTCACTCTTTACTGTTTACAGATCATAATACTTCCCTTCCACCTAATCACCCATATGTAATTTTCTGCTTCAAAAATTTGGTGTAACTCTTAAGCAATCTCACCGAAAAAAATTAAAGCTACAGCTTTAGAAGATTTTCACTCACTGGTCCTGCATGACCCCACGTTACCTGTAAATGCACCTCCAAACCCGAGAATCTTTTGAAACCTGACGCTATTATTCACCATCAAACGGACATTTTCTACGGAAGACTTCATAGTCAAACTCTTGCCAAACTTCGCTGTCTTAAGACTAAAACGTTCCCTCGCTTTAGTACTTGTGTAAACTGCGTATTCCCCCATTCCAAGAGGAGTTCCTTCGCTGAACGAGTCGCATTCATTTTCTGAGCAAAGACAAACGGTCCCTCCATGTCCAAAATCTTTGCTGATACATTTAGAATACTTGGGCGGAGAAAAAGCGCCGATGTGAACACAAAGAAACCCCAAACCTAACCAAAAATTTGAAAAAACAGACATTTTAAATTGTGAAATCTCGTGACTCCCATTCCCCGTAGCATTCTCCCAGCATTCTCCAGCAGGCGTTCCAAGTCGTTTCTAATCTCGACGCACATCACGTCACAACAATATCACGCTAGTGTTGAGAACGTTTCTAGCTATTTCAGATATGTCTCAGAGTACTCGTCATAAATATTTCGAAATTAATTTGCAAAAAAATGCCTAAATAAAGTTATGTACATTTATCAATCTTCGGATGAAAAGAATCACAACAATATACTGAAGCCGTGAGCGTCAAACTCCAAGCTATTGTGTGACAGCTCGAGCCAAAGGGGGCTGCTGGGATATATTTTGGCGCCAATTTCGACATTTTGTTATTGACATAAACTCCCGACATGTCCATTTTTTCTCCCGCTTCGTCTTAATACCTTCCTTTTATTATTTACCTTTTTAACATTTTTATGATTGAATTACGACTGTGTTTGCCATGCAGCCTCAGTGATTTTAGCCAGCTGTATGGAGAAGGACCTGTTTTCGGCCATCGCATCAGAAAATTATAGGTACGTATGCAACTAGTTTACATGTACGTTTGCTTTTTAATTAAAAAGTGAGGTTGGTTTGCTTATGACTGTTGTGATCGCTACGATAGCTGACGTATTTGCAAGAAATATCAGCGATCGGAGAAGCAGACTTTACTAATTTAGTAACCCATCGAGATAAACGATCAAATTGAAATGCTTCTTCTTCTTCTTGAAATGCTTGGACTGTGTTAACTTTGCAATATTCTGCCAAGCAAAAAACTGGTGCTTATGTGTTCTGTTGCCGGATTTTTATGGACAGATGAAGTCAATAAAGGAAAAGTTTTTATTTGTCTGGTTTGTAAAATAGTTAGATCTTGGGCATATTCTCTTTTTCTCTTTGTCACTCAATTACCTCCTTCCTCTAAGATTTAGATGACGAAGATCCTGCAGAGTTTGATTTTGGCAATAGCACCCTATTTTATGCCGTTTTTTGTTTCACGGGAAATTTTGTTTTCACCCGTTATGTATAAATGCGATTACAGAGAAACTTTAGACCGAAGAGAAAGAGTTATTTTTCCTTACCCGAACTCTTTGATCGGTTTAGACATTTTAAAGCTACTCTCTCATCCGATCAGATGAAGGATTAGAACAACATTACATCGGGAAAATGGAAATTTGGCAACCTCTTGTTCTTCAAGCAATAAACATGTTTTAACTCTGAGTTTTCTTTCTCTTTTTCTTAAGTTATTCTGATTAGTATTTCTGTTTAGTTAGGTTCATTTTCGGTCAATCAAAATGCACGGTTAGTTTAAAAGGTATACCAAACAAGATGTAAAGTCCTCATTTGTCATTTTCCAGTCGTGCTAAGGAACTTGGTTTGAGTGGAGCTAGAGCAGATCAGTTAGAAGATGGCATTACTGCTCTCCATCTGCTGGCTGGGCAAGAGGATCAGGAAGCTTCAGAAGTTTTGGAAGTTTGTTTGAGGTCTGCAGATCCCAATGTCAGATCTAATGAGGGAATGTCACCAGTTCATGTTGCTGCTCTCTGGGGAAGGCTGAACAATTTAAAATTACTGATAAACCATGGAGGTGATCTCAATCAAACAGATGATGAAGGACAAAATGTTCTGGATTTTGCCTCCCTGTCAGAAGGGACAAGTGCAAAACAGTGTATCGAATTTATATTGGAAGTTGAGTCAAACACAACCTTGGATGAATCAAGAACATGTAATCCTGTAAAAAAATGGGATGGAATGGAACACAAACAGCCAGTTGGTGAAGTCAGTTGTGGATTCAGTGAGTCATTTTACACAGCAATTGCAGAAGACAGTTTGCTTGACCAGACAGTAATTACATTTCCAAACTTGCATCCTTGGCTTGCTGCTGGTGTTTCTTCAGGTGAATTGGATGAAACTGTGGTTGATAAGATTACAGAACTAAATATCTCCAGTAACAGGTACAAATTGTATAATAAATATCATACCCACTTAAGGTGCTTATCTAGCTTCTGCTAATTTTTACTTTTTATAAGCTATCATGACCCTAACCTAAAATGGATCATATTAGCTTAACACAATGCAATCTATTTTCTTTGAATCATTTTGCTAACAAGTTAAACCACAAAACTCTCATAGCCCAGAGTATGGTTATTTAGTACTGTTGAGTGGCAGATCCAGACTTTGAGATAAGGGGAGGGCTGTGGTTTTTTTTTGAGATAAGGGGAGGACTGTGGTTTTTTTGTGTGTGTACACACTTGTTGGCTTTTCTTCCTTCTGAATAAATATTTTTACTCAAACTAAGGGGGAAGCCCAGGCCCCCTGGGCCCCTCCTCTAGATCTGCCACTGCTGTTGAGATTTAAATCTAGGCTAATAACTGACAGTACCAGCTAGAATTAGTCATATCCTGGTTAAATTTCTAACTACATTATGATGAGCTAAATGGCTGTAAAAATATGAAAACTAATATAATTTTCTGATGTGCAGTTTAAAAAATGAATATGAAAGTCAGATCTCTGTATTTATGAACACTACTTAATGGGCAGTTGTGAAAATAAGTCCTGAAAAAAATTTCAGGCCTTTACAGGATTTGAACCCATGACCTCTGCAATACCAGTGCAGTGCTCTACCGACTGAGGTAGCTGTCAAAAAGACTTAAGAGTAATCATTGGACATTATGACTCGAGAAGATTTCATTTCCTATTATAGTTGATTGTTGTAATCATTACCCGTGTGGTCAGCAGTTTCTGGTATTATGTCTTGCTCGTGTAACCCACATGAGAAACACATGGTTTTAGGTTTTTCCTCGTTCACGTTCATGGCCACCACTTGATATTGTTGTGAAACATTTTAATCATTTGAATACATTCTTTATAATGGAACGGTGATTGATTGTTTGTCATCCTTTACCATAACTCTGTCTTTGCGACACTAGCAAGCCGACTGAGAGCTGGTCATTTTGTTGGTTAGTAATAAACCTGTGAAGTGATGAATCAATGATGAGCTCCTTTATACATTACTTTATCATCAGGATGGTGCTCTGTGCAGAGTTTTCAAAAATTATTTTTCAACATTTGGGGCCATAAGTAGTCTGACTTATGGCAATGTTTTGAGAGGGTACCCAGGGCTCAACACTAACTTTTCATCTTACTAGCCTAATGGCTGGTGACATCTTAGATGTTACCACAATTTCAGTTAGTTTGCTAGCCAAACTGGTTTTTGGAAATCGAAAACCACTAGCCAAAACTGAATTTCTACTAGTCTGTGGCTAGTTGGCTACGGTTAGTGTTGAGCCCTGGGTACCCCTAAACACCACTTGAAGTATTTCACCATTTATTTCTTTTGACTTGGTCTTTAGTCTTGAAGATCATGATGAAACTGTAGAAGAAGGTGCAGTGCAGTGGCTGGAACATACGAATTATCAAGGGAATGGTTGGTATTTACTATAAATTAGGAATTGATTAAATTTTGTTTTGATATCAAAAGATAACAAGTAAGTGTAGCTTTTTTTCCAACATGGCAGAAGTTAAAAGAAATCAGCTGAAAAAAAGCTGTATGAACACTGAGGCCAACTTCTTTTGCTTTTTCTTTTTAAATTTCCCTTTATAACTGATTTCTATAGATTTGTGCAAAAGATCCTGATAATTATTTCCAATAATCTCCCCTCTGACTATTTTTCAATCAAGTTTACAACAACTGTCTGAAAACCATCAAAGGTCACATCATTTTTGAACCCAAGTCCTGGGATGCTAAATGGAGAAGTTATTATAATAATTCCATAACATGACATATATGCATTGTTGATAATGCGTGAGGTTGAGATGGCTGGATATTGGCTCAGTTTGTTTTTGGGATTTTTATGGACAGATGAAGTCAATAAAGGAAAAGTTTTTATTTGTCTGGTTTGTAAAATAGTTAGATCTTGGGCATATTCTCTTTTTCTCTTTGTCACTCAATTACCTCCTTCCTCTAAGATTTAGATGACGAAGATCCTGCAGAGTTTGATTTTGGCAATAGCACCCTATTTTATGACTGGAAGGAGTGCAGCACAATATTGGACCAGTCTCTTATCAATAAATCCATTTGTGTGCCTGAGAGTCTTAACAGAATTTCCAACGGTGATCTTAGGAAAGAACTTGAGAGATATGGAGAAATACCTGGTCCAATCATGCAAAGCACCAGAAATGTCTATATAAAGCGGTTAGCTCGACTACAGAGTGGTTCAACAGATTCAAAGGTAAAAACATATAATAATTATTATTATGGTAATAATGCAGTAGTAGTTTTGATGATATGATCATGGCATTATGGTAATTGACCACTGCCCGAATGAAGCTTTTCATGGCCAATACAAACAAACACTGTACACAGACATGTTTAAAAATCCCAAGGGGGGGGGGGTAGGGAGAATGATTGGTATACTCAAAGTGTAGCCAAGGAGTTAAATTGGGAGAAGTGGAGAACAAATCCAGGGAGCAGCAGGGTGGAGGGCTTGAAAACAGAGCAGAACCATCAAATTACAAGTCCTGGGCACCCTAAGCAAAGTAAAGTTGAAATTTAATTGAAATTAGGTATGGGTATGAACATGTATGCCAAATATTGGTTTCAAATTTAGTAACAATGGCAGGTCATGAGAGCCAGCAAAAATCAAAGATGAAAGCAACTGTCTGCTGTTAAGGAGGCTCCCTTACCATGCACAATCTTTTCTTGTTCTAAGTTGGCAGTTTTTTTTTTTTTTTTGGTCATTTAGTTCAATGGAGTACAACTTCTGCAAAATTCAGAGAGTTAAAAAAACTTTGATTGTTTATAGTGGATCCGTTGTATGACAACCAAATACTTTGTGCAGAAGGATCCATTACCAATTCCCAACCCCCCCTCCAAAGCTCCCTCCTTCCCCTCAGTCAATAATCTCACCTAAGTGGGGTGTTGGGAAGAAGAGAGACACTGCAAACTTTGTTTTTTATAACATGCATTTGTCCTTCAGGAATCAATATATAGGGAATATTTACCAGAGCTAAGAAGACAATTGGAAGGGAGAGCGGAGATACTGGATTTGTTTGAAGAGGAAGAATCTATGTGTGTGGAATTCAGCTGTAAAAAGAATTGGAGGGAGGGGTGAGTTATTCACGTGATCGATAATTTCAAGTGTTGTAATCTGAAACACAATCTAATATTCTTGTAAAGCCTAAGATGCCATAATGCCGTGTGTACCTTTTTTTTTCTTTCAAGATTACAGGTGGGGCCAAAATGTGGTTTGAACTAATTTACAGTGTGAGTAAAAGTTTTTGAAAAAATTAGAGGCATTTGATTTGTCCTTGTCATTCCTCCACATTTTGAATTCCGCCGTAATCTCTTACCGAGAAAACGCTGAGCAGTCTAAAACTGAATAGTTTTATGAAGATCCCCTCTACCCCTTTGTAAAACTCAGTCACGTAAAAACGCTTTTTCGCGCATCACGAATGATATCCAAAGTTTTTTTCACGTTCACGCAAAATTCGAAAAGATCACGTTTCACATAAAAATAATAATAAAAAAAAACAGATTCACCTATTTATAATGATATCTTATATATTTGTTCAAGAACCATTAGTGGTCTGTTTTGTGACTTTATCGATCCATATGAAGTCTACGTTCTTTCATTACCTAACCACAGCTATTCGAGAACAGTATGCGGTACATTGTCTGAAATAGCCAGAAATTCAATCAATCAATCAATCAATCAACTTTATTTAACGAGGGTAACACGTGACAGTGCTTCAACTGAGTAACGAGTGGCCCTCAAACTAAATTTGTAAAACAAAGTTAAGTAACAAAATACATGTCGTAAAGAAAAGGAAGTATAAGTGTATGTATGAATAGGACTAACAATAGTAAAAACTATATTACACTTATAAAAATATTCTTACAATGAATATCTACAAACTATAATTACAATAAGAATACAGCTGGGATAGGTCGAGCGAGAGGAAGGTTATGAAATGTTGCATTAGCATAAAACTATGAATAAATTTAAGTTTCAGTTACGCTAAAATGATCAACGCCATTGTATCTGGTTAAAAAATGTCTATAAATAGCATTTCTAGATGAGGTTACACATGTTACTTTCTTGAGGTTAATAGGCAGAGAGTTCCAGAGCCTGGTTGCGGACACGCTAAAAGTTCTCCCTCCCTCAGATACACGATTATATCTGGGGCAGACGAGGTTTAAGGCACTGTACCGCCCACTGCGCGTGTGTAAATCTGCATTGCATTTAAGAAGGTCATACATGTAGCTGGGGCAGTTTCCTTGAAGTTTCCTTGAAGGCTTCACCACGGAGAAGCAAAATGGTTAGCGGATCACCTTTAATGCGTGGACATGAAAAGATCTTATCATCTATATTCCCGATTCACGAATAAAAAAAATCAGTGAAATCACGATTCACGAGAAAAAAAAATGGCCCAATCACGCTCCACGTAAAGAGTATAGTGGACTCTCTTTAATGCAAATTAGAAAAAAACAAAAAAAAAAGATCGCCAGTTAATTTAACGAGGTCATGCATAGTTATCTCCTCTAATAGATCAGTTAGGAAATTCTTTTAAACCGTTTAACCGCAAAGAGTGATCATTATTCAATTTCTCCTTACACAATCGCACCTGGATCAAACATTGAGGTCATGAGAAAGAAAAAAGTTATCGCTAACAAAAGATGCCCTTCAATGTCAATCAAATTCTTCTCGTGGATGCCCTAGGAAATGAAAGGTAGACAGTAAGGAGAAAATGCATACTGATCTTAGGGTGTTTAGGTATTACTCAGCTCACTTTTATTAACAAATGGTAAACACCACAGCGTACACTATTGAGTTATGGATGCACGCGGGAGGTTGCTAAGCACGAAAGAAGCGTAAGAGTCGCTCGAGGCGATAGCCGAGAGCGACTCTAGCTTCTTGAGTGCTTAGCAAACCTCCCAAGTGCATCCATAACTCAATAGTGTACGCTGTGGTGTTTACCATTTGTTTTATAACATAACATTAACACATTGTAGCTAAAGAGTTCCCTTTTATTTAACAAATCTTACGTGACCAGAAAAAACAAGCGCGCGCGGAAAAATAGTATTTGCATTTGCTCACGTCAGCAGCGTACACCCATGGGCAAATGAGGGACGCTAAATTGACCAATCAGAGCGCGCGCTTTACTTTGGTTATGTTATAAATCTCTTTAGCACTGAGAAGTCTTCCTTTAACTATCTACTCATTGATCCGCGCGTCACACAAAATCTACCAACGAGATCCAAAAAGATGAGTCCGGAGGATGTCTTCAGAGTGTTTATCTTGGCCATATTCTACGTGGGAAAAGGAAAGCGATCTAGACCTTATGCACATCTTAATGAAGCCATGAACTTTGCAAAGGTACATGTAGATGCCATGCGTACACTGTTTGTTGCAATATGAGTTACAAGTATGCTTTGATGATAAAATCTTTGTTTTGATTAACAAAACCAGCAATGTATGTACAAATAAATCCAAAGAAGAATAATTTTCCTTTAAGCGTTACGTTTCAGTTCTGGACACATTTAGCCTTAACTTATTGGCACCTTCGCAAGAGGTCTCAAGGACCTTCAACGCTAATGAATATTGTAATTTGGTTATAAATTGGCATTGGCCACCGTAAAGAGTTAAAAAGCTGACATTTCGAGCGTTAACCCTTCGTCATTCGCCCTGACGAAGGGCTAACGCTCGAAACGTCAGCTTTTCAACTCTTTACGGTGGCCAATTTACAATTTCAACTTAGTTGATAGAGCCAAATTACCTTGTTACCCCCACCGACGCAGCACCACAGTTTCTTTAGAAACTTACCCCCATTATTTTAATGATCAATGGTTTGAAGTGCTGTTGTAGAATATGACCCGCGAATAGCATACGTGTAGCCGTAACCTCCCCTCTTCCGTTTCTCCTCGGAGGGAGGGTGCGGCTATTCGTAGGCTAACCCGCGAAGAGCAAAAGCCAATCACAACTGAGGTAATTATCACAAGGACCCAGCGAGAACTCAAACCCGACACACTTTGCGGGCTTCAAGCGCAGTAAGCGCGAGTAATTAACTCATTACATCTCATTGGTTGAGAGAGTAGCACGAGTTTTCTAAAACGATTAACGTGCAGCAAACCAGTGCAATCCCAGACTGTTCTATACACTTAGTGAAATTGCTCTGTATCTTTTTTGCCTTGACAGCAAAATCCCAAAATTCAGCAAATCCGTGATATTTGGGCCGCTGGGCTCGGTGTTGTGTCGCTTCATATCTTTCAAAGTGTCATTCCAGTGGAGGCATACACGAGGGAGGCGTGCATGATAGATGCACTTGGTAATTATACTCTGTTTAAGTAGTCATTTGTATGTTAGTGGCTTGAACAGTTTAATTATTGTGTAGAACGCGCTGCGTGACACGATCACACAAAGGTCACGAGGCAGAAATTATTCCAATGAGTAGCAGGGTGAAGATCTGTGCTTTAAATTAAACAATTGAACCCCATGTTACCGTGAAAGCAGCTGACAGCCTAGGAAAAGGCGTTCCAAGGTTGAAAACGTCGTCATTTGAACGCATCCAAATTAGATCATTCAGTACTGGTTAAAACGGTCAGTTAATCCTAATCAAAGTTTGATATCATTATGATCCCCATGAAAACTTAGCTTTTCGTTGTATTTTCAACTATGTTTAATTCGAGCGTCAAATGTTATCCTTGACTACTTTGACTGATCTGACAAGTCCCGTTGGATTTGAAGCCATGTCTTCCACAGACCAAAAACAATACATCCCTACCTATTACGGCCCTTTTATTTCCACCTTTTTATGACTGATAGAAAGGAACGCACAATCGCCGGTTAGACGCGCACTTAAGCCTTTCAATTTATGTTTTCTTTGTTTGTTTTTTGCTTTTGTTTTTTTCAGGCCTTCCCCGATTAACAAACAAGAAAAGGGGAGATTATTACGGAAGGGCAGCGTGTTGGCCTCCAAAGAAAAAGAGAGAAATGGGGGTATTTCTTCTTCAAAGGGCCCTCAAAATATTACTTAGTGAAGGAGAGAGACAACTGCGCCCTGAAGATTTCAGAATAAAGCATAACTCTTAGGTCAGTCGCACATGCTCCTTGTTTTTTTTTTTTTTTTTTGTTTTTTCTTCGATAGATTCGTTCACTTGGTATGTTTTGATTCACGATTGGATATACAACTTGAGAGCCAAAATATCTATTTTCTACTTTTTTTTTGCTCATGTTTTAGTACTTTGTTTAATACTTTCTGATGTTGCTCTCCTCAGTTAGTTCTTAGATAGTTCACCATCTTTTTTCCTCTTTTTTACAGATCAGCCCTCCATGGCCAGCATTTCACAACTTTTTCACGTTTCCTCGCAAATACTATTTGTCTTTACTCCCTTTCATAGGCGTAACTTTTATCAAATTTTGTTTGTCGTCAACCTAATTTTTAACCTATTAACGCGTACTTATTCTGGTGTTTCAAACCGGATGTCATTCAGCTATTTTTAACTGAGTTGTACTCCTTCGTTTTCCAAACGTGTTGAGCCAGCTTTCGAAACAAATTTCTGACGGTTTCTAGTTTTGTAATTTTGCTTTATTTGTCTTTACACTTTTTTAAGTTCATACAGTCATTCCCCTTTTTTTCGGTGTTCATCACCAACCTTGTAAATAGCACCATTGTCGAAAGAAATCTGTTTCCTTTGCTGTCACTTTTAGCGTTTTGTAGGTTAATATATTTTTTCACTCTGCCTGAAAGGCGATTTTATTTTCAAATTTAAGCAAGGAAAAGAATCATACGCATAAGTTATGAAAAATTACTTTAAAGTGAATCTTTAAGTAAACCATGTCCGCAGATGAGAAATCGTGGAAAATTCAGTACTTTGCGCAAGCGTAGTAACTCGTTTCGCTCATTCTTTTCATTAGTCGAGATTTTGTGAAGCGCGGCTTTCATCAGGGACCATTAAAAATTCAGCAAAGAAAAACTGCTGATATATTTGAGCGCTTCAAGCAAGAAATTAGATAGTAAGAAGCAGGAGCCAAAAATATTAGTTTTATGCTTTTTTTTAATTCGATCCTTTTTTAGTCATTTTACTTGATATTTACAGTGAAAATTGTAGTTATTTTAGAATGGTTTTCCTATCTCACCCAATAGAGAGTTATTACATGTAGGATAACTAAGTTTCTCAAAGAAAATGACTAGTTGTAAATTAAAATAGAGTGGAAAAAAAGACTTGTAAAGTTTTACAGATAGAAGCTTATATTTTTTCAGATTTTAGCCAATGTAGTTTTAACTTTAATAAACAGATGAGAATTTGAAAGACAAGTCAACAGTTAAGTTGTTTAATACCGTTTTGAAGGTTTGGAAAAACCGAAAGAAATGCTTCAAAGCGAGAGGGAACAACGGTGGCCACGGACTGGAAAGATTGAATTGAACTGATTACGACTGACATATTTGAAAACTTTAGGCTAAATTTTACAAGATGTAGTCTGAAATCTTAACCTAGATTAGGTATCAAATGTCCTGCACGCCTCGCTGGTCCTAATCCGGTTGTGTCGAAGTTTCCTTCGTCCTCCCGACCCTGATGGCATGTCTAGTTTTTCTCTTTACCTTTTCGGAGAGGTGGCGGGATTTTGATTTGACTGGCGAGTTTTAAAACCAAAAGACTTTGTCAGGGAACATTATATTCCTCAGGTTGTTAAGTTCTGTAAGGCCTAGTTTATACGTCGCGCTACAGTCGAATTTAATTCAGATGAATTTAATTCAAAGTCCCACAAACAATTAAACTCGACGATAGCGCGACGTGTAAAACGAATTTTAATTCGTCTGGTCAATTAAATTCGTCCTTGACGTTTTATCCGTCTTGAGACGGATAAAATATCGATAACGCGTCTTGAGTTTTAACGTCGCACTAGGGTCGCGTCGAATGAAATGCATACATTTTCTTAATGTATTTCAATTTATTTCAAAATGATACCTCTTAACCAGAGGCACTGCATTTGGGAAGCGAATTCGATCGAGTTGATCTCGACGCATTAAACCACGCCACGATTTACGTCGACGGAACGACGAATTTAATGGAATTAAATTCGTCTGAATTAAATTCGACCGTAGCGCGACGTATAAACTAGGCCTAACCAATCATTGAAGCCCCGTTGAGATATCGCCCTACACAGTCCATTTCAAACGTAGAGCACCTTGCAGCACACACTGAACTGAGCTATGACGCTTTAACAAACACGCCAAATAATGGCGACCATACCACTGACAAGGACCCAAGTGTCAGATCCCCCCCGGCAAACCTCACCCCGACTCGTCTCAAGTCGCTGCTGGAAAAACGTGCGTGTTTCAGCGTCCATACGTCACGTAACCCCACAACTTTTGTCATCGTGACCGGATACTCAGCACGTGTATGTATACATATGATGCACGATCCTCGCAGTAGATAGCGCTATTTAAGCAATAGCGAAAAATCAGACCTGAAAAAAATCAGGCCTGTACGGGATTCGAACCACTGACCTCTGCGATACTAGTGCAGCGCTCTACCAATTGAGCTAACAAGCCAACTGGGAGCAGGCCGTTAAGTTGATTCGTAATAAACCCGTGAAAGTGATAAATGAGATACAATGAAATATATGAAGTTCATATATTTTGTACTGCGGTATTAGATACATATGATGCACGATCCTCGCAGTAGAGGATCGTGCATCATTTTTTTCAGGTCTGATTTTTCGCTATTGCTTAAATAGCGCTATCTACTGCGAGGATCGTGCATCATATGTATCTAATACCGCAGTACAAATTATACGAACTTCATATATTTCATTGTATCTCACGTGTATGTATATAACAGACACCTCACGCATTTTTAGGATGGCTTGCGGATTTGTCAGAAAGTTAACTTCGGTCGGCGGCAGGCGTAAGAGGCTTAAAACTTTAACCAGAAATTGTACTTTTCAAAAATGTTTAGGCTCTGAACAAATGAACACAAAACTGTGGCAGCATTGTAGATCTTTTCCACATTTAGAGATTTATTTTCGCAGAACAGTGGCATTGATTTCGCTCTCAGGAACAATGGGTTAAGTTTTAACTTTGTCATGTTTGTTTTATTCGTAGTTTATACTCATCATTTAGTATGAAACAGCGGCGATTAGAACTTTGATACGTAGTTTTCAGTTTTCCGCATGCCGTTCTTTAACCGCACTGACTATACCAACCATAAAACTAGTTAAGACAAACAAAATATTTCCACTCCTCTTGCAAACCGTACATTATTTACAAAACTTCCTCATTGTGAATTATATGAAATATCCCTTGCGGTCATTAAAGGTTTTACGACTCACTTAATATAAGAATAGTGGACAAGGAACTGTCCAAATATCACAACCTCAAATGAACTCCTGTTTACAGCTAGCGAAGGATTGTACGTATTCTCGATCCCAAACCCATGGAAACTTCAAAACTACATTAACATGAAATAAAGGTCCGCTTTCTCTTGGAGAAGTCTTTCAAAACATCTTGTCGAATTTTCCAGTATGTTGGACAGCCCTCGCCATAAGATGCAACCTGGAACCTTCCTCTGCGAGATTTGAGCCTCAGAAAATAAACTCCAGCAGACATTCCACTAAAATCTCTGTATTCCAAGTGGTATGTGCAAACGTATTTCTCTAGGTCCATATCGTAAACAATGAAGAAATACAGCTTGACCGCTATGTCATTTTCTCGCTCCTGCAACGGCTCTGGTTTTAGGTATTGTCCAACTTTGATGGTAAACCGGTTAAGCGAAATCTCTTCTCTCGTGAAAAACGTCACGTTCAGAGAGCTAAAGACACCCTCTCCCCAAACGTAATAAAGTTCTACGATAGCATCGGCTATTTCATCAGCCTCGGTAAATTTATTCTCCGAAGCCAAGCGAGACATTTCTGAAGTAGCCATGCCGAACATTGAGTTCATAGTATCAATGGCCGTCGAATTTGGGAAGTGGTTTTGTTCTTTCGGCCAGGAGAGAGCTTCCTCGAAGGCTGACAGGATTTCGTCGAGTGCCTCATCTCGGTAAAATTTTTCTTCGTCGTCTTCAACATCGGAATCTACGAAAACCCAATCGTCTAAGCATCCACCTCGACGGAAGAGAGTTGTCTTATCCTTACACATACATGACCAACAGTGACCCATGTCAGACAGAACGTTTCCTTGTCGCAGCAAAAGTAAAACGACTGAAGTTCATTCACAAATTCTGCTCCTGCCCGGTGTTGCTTCTAAAATTGATTGTCTTGGTCTTCAGCTCGTAGCCTCGTGGGAACATGAAGTGATGCAAATGAAATTATCTGACTGTGTTGTTGGGTTAAATAATTTTTCCATGCACCAGTCACGTTTTGAATGCTTACAAAGTCAAGTTTATTTACGCGATAGTCCAAGGTACAAGAAGGTCAATCAATGGCATCCGCCCGGAAACAGGGCAAGCTCAGCATGAAAATATCTGCTTCGGTCACGAAAACAACATGGTATGCGTGGAGATATTGTCTCTAAAATTGTTCTTAATTACGCGTTACATTCCTATCTTAAATAACATTATATCTTAAGTCTTTTCGAGTAAGATAAATAGATCGGAACTCCAATTTTCAAGAAAAATTCCAATCTGCGTGTTTTGAGAGAAAAAGGAAAAAAGAAACTTCTAGCTTTAAGGGGATTTCGGGGTTATTTTTTATTCCTGGTTTTATTTTTTGAGTATAACAACAGATCTTACTTTTACCACGTAACTGCCTGTTTAAGTAAAAAGGAAAATATTTTATAAAAGCGCACAGTGCTTTTATATTATGTGGAGTTTGGACTCCGCCGGATAAGGATAAATATAACTACGCAAATTAAATTATCACTTGAAATTTTGTTTCGGTGAGAAAACAGACACATACAGACTGTTCAGGAAGCCCCGAACAACCAGATCCTAAAACATCTCCCCTTTGCTTAAAATATAAATATTTCCGACCTCATTGTTGCACTATTAGCAAAAACGACTGGCAGCCAAAGTTAAATTCTTACTTTTTGCCAATGGTCTAATGCGGTTCGAGATACCTGTCGGTGTTTCTTACAAAAAGGTTTAGAATAGCCTTTTCACAGAAAATTGTTTTTTTTCAGTAACGAAACTTTTTTTGAAACTTTACAGATCACGAAGAAGATGCAAAAGTGTAATGTAAAACATGGCCGTTTTAGTCATCACTGCTTTGGGGCAAAGAACAGGCAAAATAGTCTTGCCCTGTTGTAAAAACCCGCATTGATTACGTATTTCATCTTAAGCCTACGATTTTAATTTGTCATGCGATTATTCTTATCTACCCCAGGGACATCCTTTTGCTTCTCTGAAGGCTACGGCCGACACTGATGACCTAAACGTGTAGCTCATGACGTATAATGAACGTAAACGTGTAAGGGTGTTGTGTTACAAAGACGCAATTCACTGCTGTTTGTGTGGTTATTTTTAGTGAAAGATTGTTTTTGAGAAGTGCTTTGTGAAAAATTAAACGGACGTGAGTGACAAACAAAGCGGAAGTGTGGTGTTACAACCTAGTATTGACAAAGATGATTTGATTAAAGTTAACCAGGACTTGACTGCATTATAGTGGAGGGGGACAGGGGGGCGGGAGCCCGGGAGAACAAGGAGCGGGAGAGGGAGAGAAGCGGGAGACTCCGACCCCCTTCCCCC